AAAAAAAAAAAAAAAAAAAAAAAAATATATATATATATATATATATATATATATATATATATTAAAGTGTTTTTAATTTTTGACTCAATGATTCTACTTTCTGGGAATCACTCCAAGGAAATAATCAAAATAGTGAGAAAATATAGTCATTAGCTGTTCATTGTTTATGATAGAAAAAGTAGTAAAGGAAAGAAAGAAAACTAAATGGTCTCCACAAAGGACATAACTAAGAGGATAAAAGTGTAGCCACTGATGGCAAGTGGTACGTATATTAAAAAGACAGTTACAGGCTTCTGCTTCCAGCCATGATAAAATAACAGGGACTAGACTTACCTATCCTCTTCAAAAAATTAGAAAACTGGACAAAATATATGAATTAGCTGTTTTCAGACATTATACATCAGGCAGTACAGAAGTGTGTGATCCCAGACAGAAGTAAACTAGAGGAGCTATATTATTATCAGAAAAAGTAGACTTCAGAACAAGTGTTACTAGGAATAGAAAGTGACATTACATAATGATAAAGTAGTCAGTCTACCAAGAAGACATAATAATCCTAAGTGTGTAGGCACCTAACAACAGAGCTTCAAAATACACAAAGCAGGGACTTCCCTGGTGGTGCAGTGGTTAAGACTCCATGCTCCCAATGCAAGGGACCCAGGTTCGATCCCTGGTCAGGGAGCTAGATCCCACATGCATGCCGCAACTAAGTGTTCACATGCCACAGATAAGAGGCTGCATGCTGCAACTAAAGAGCCGGTAAGCTGCAACTAATGAACCCACGAGCTGCAACTAAGGAGCCCGCCTGCTGTAACTAAGACCTGGTGCAACCAAATAAATAAATAGGTATTTTTTTTAAAAAACTTAACAATCACTTATTAAAAAAAAATACACAAAGCAAAACTGGTCAAATGAAAGGAGAAATAGATACACCCTTAATACAGTTAGAGATTTCAACACTCCTCTCAAGTAATCGGTAGTTTAAATAGACAGATATCAGCAAGGATATAGAAGATCTGAAAAACACTATCAGGCAACTTGATTTTTTTGAACATTCCACACAACAACAGGAGAATACAGATTCTTCTCACATGCACATAGAACAAGCACCAAAATAGACCAGGCTCTAGGCCAAAGGTCAGCAAACTACAGCCTAAAGGCTAAGGCCCACCTGTTGCCTGTTTTTATAAAGAACATTTTATCAGAACACAGCCACTTCCATTCATATTAAGTATTTCATATTACAACAGCAGAGTTGAGTAGTTATGACAGAGGTCAAAGGGCCCACAAAAACTATAATATTTTCTATCTGGCCCTTTAAACAATAAGTTTGCCAACCTGAATTCTAGGCCATAAACCAAAACTCAACACATCTGAAAGAACTGAAATTATATAAAATATGTTCTCTAACCCCAATGGAATTAAATTTGAAACTGATAACAGAAAGATACCTGAAAAATTCACAAATTTTGGAAATTAAATATTACTTCTAAATAACTCATGAAGAGGAAGGCAAACAAAAATGGTGACAGAAAGCAGATCATTAGTTGCTTTGTGGAGCATGAGGAGGAAATAACTGGGAAGGGTCACAAGGGAACTCTAGGGCAACGGGAATGTTTTCTATCATAATTATAATGGTAGTTAGGTGTAGGCATTCATCAGAACTTACCAACTGATCACTTAAAATGGGTGCAATTTATTTTATATAAATTAGACCAAAATATAATTGATTCTTTAAAAATCTGAGGACTATATAGCAAGAGAAAAAGGTTTATAAATAAGGGTTAGGTGAAAAGGAGAAAAAATAAGTATAGGCCATAACAGTAACAGTGCTAATAAAACACAGCTAAATATGGGAAACAGCACAGTGCAGAAGTGAAAGGTCCAAGTTCAGAAGACCAGTTCCCAGGATTCAAGTCCTTACAGTGAGTGTCATAAATTCACCATGCTTCAGTTTCCTCATCTGCAGAACAGGGATTACAGAATCTATATCATAAAATGCTTAAAAAGATTAAACAAGTTGTTGGATTACAAAATGCTAACAACAGTGCCTATAACGAATAGTCAATGAATGTTAAGTATCATTATTAGACAAATGCACATGAGGTAAAAAGAGGAAAGAAAAATGATATAGTAGCTGTGTTAGAATGGTAAGATTAAGGCAAATCCATTTCTCTAATCATAATAACTATAGCTATATTACTTTATAATTAAAATGAAAAAACAATAATTCCACAACTTGCTCCACAACTGCTGATAAAGAACCCTCCCAGTTTTTGAAGAAATAGGGGATTAATGGTGGGGGGAGAGGGGAGAGGAACACAGGA